AACTAACTAACTAACTAACTAACTAACTAACTAACTAACTAACTAACTATCTATCTATCTATCTATCTATATATCTATCTATCTATCTATCTATCTATCTATCTAACTACCTAACTAACTAACTATCTAACTATCTATCTATCTATATAGGATTTTTTTTATTCTGGTTTAATTGAATCTTCATAAGAGGTAAGATAGAGCCGGATAATCTTCTTGCACTCGTGTTAACGTGAGACTTCTGCAGGAATAAGACCCAGCTTTGATGATGTCCATCGAATAATGAACGAAAGCCGGAACGAGGCAAGAGGTCTCGTGAACTGCGTCAACCTGAACGTCGTATAAAATCAGATCAACGCGATTCAACAGTCCTCTTCTTCTGAGATCGGCCTGTGAATCTCTGCTGCATGCATTTTGCTACGAAATAAAAGTCCCCCCAACATTGTTATCTCAGGAGATTCATCGAAACCCAGTTTTTCTTCGTATCTTCAAAAAAGGTAAGATTGCTTATCTCGTTCGAAGTCGTCTGCTCTCGTAGTCATGTTATGATAATTCCCAGCGTTGTTCTGTGGACTTGATATATGCGAAGAAAGTTGGGTTTCGAGGAATCTCTTGTTTCATAATTATTGTGCTTACTTCCGTTTCGAGTGAAAGTGTGCAGTGAAGAGATTCCAAGGTCGATTCCACCAGAAGACGACGGCCGATTCCTCTTGACCATCTCTCGATTGGCTTGACTGGAACCTTTACAATGACGCTGTCTCCAAAGTGTAATCTCCTTCGATTCCTGTACTTTCTGTACTTTTAGCTCACTCCTCCTCCCTCGCATTGAGACGAAAAACAAAAAATAGGCTAATCATCACACAATGGAGAGGTGTGATGGCTCCACGTTAAGCTGGCTCGCAGTCCTTTTAACATGTAAAGAAGTGGTTTGATCTAGCTTTTGCAATTAAATCATGTCGTCATGGCGACCAGGTTGGACGTACCTTATTCGAAGTTCTCTGCTCTCGTAATCATCACAATTCTCAGTATTGGTCCGTGGACTTGATACATTCACAGACGTGTCACTGACGTCGTGGTCGAATGGCCAATCTCACTGATGATGCCGGCAAAATGTCTGGGAATGTACCAAATCTACGCATCAACAGGGCTGGGAATTGCAAAAATTAATAGAGCAGATGAAAACACGATCGAGTTGCGAAAACGAGGTCAGACCAGTTTTGTGCAACGAAAGGAGACTGCGACCAAACGAGAGGATACGACATCTCGGTCTTCATAGCTTCGTATAAAATGAATTGGGTAGTTCATGTCATGTGTCAATCTGGAAGAATGTATGCACGACAAAGGATAGACGTTAAGCTTATATCCATCCATGCTGGTGCCTACCACGCATGCCTACACATGAAGACACCTAAACACACACAAACATGCACATGCGCTCATCAAAATGCATCAGTAAGTCTACTTTACTCGTTCACTTGAATTTGGTCGCAAGAATGATGTCTTCTCTGTTCTGGTAGACGATTTATGAAAGTAAGTTTACCTCAGTTTCGCAACTTGGTCTTGTTGCCAGGGCCACTTGGTAGAACGCACCTTGTCCAAAGTCGTCTGGCAGATTAGTTGTCATGATTGCCAGCATCAGATCGTGAACTTGGTACATTTTCAGACGTTTCTCCGCCATCAAACTTGGCATAATCAGTAAGTCTTGTCAAGAGACAAGACCAGTTTGTAGCAGAGAACGTCGGACAAAGGGCGTTCTATTAAGTCACCCTGACGACAAGACCAAGCTGCGAAAACAAAGTCAATCCAATCAGACAGTTTTGGCCCAAATCCCGAATCACAAACACTACCGGCAGCTGAGACGGGCCGGACCTCGTTCCTGCCGCAGAGCCCGGCAGATCTGCTGAACCGGTTGTCACCCTCGGGTTTATTTGCAGTCCACTCGATAATCATTTTCAGATTATAAGTAGTCAGTAGTAGTGTATTCACTCAATTTGGTCTAAAGTGACGAAAGGTTGGAAATTGCTTTTTTCCAAAAAGTGATGAGTAAGCTGCAACGAAATATTTTGATGAAGCTTGTAAAAGACGCTCATAACTTTGTGCATAGTTCGAAGTGATGTGTGCTGTCTACCAATGGTGGCCTTGGGGTAGGGGACGCAGTGGTAGCGGAAGGTCGGTTTCTCGCAGAAACCACCAGTCACGCTTAGATCGAGCAAATACGAGTTAGAAGACAGTGGACACACAATCCGGCCACAATACGACAATTCGAACAAATGACGGCATTGTGTAAAGGAAAAAAACAGGGTTCCGACAAACTCCCTCACGAGTTGGTGGGATTCGAGTTTCGAGTTTGAAAGGAATTAATGAATTGGTCCTACCGGAAGCCGAGGAAGGCTTGACTGGTTTGGAGGGAAGATTGCAAATACGTCTTCGGCTCACCATTCTGAATCTTCGATGAACTCGGGCTAAGCTGCTGTGTTGTATGCAACAGACATTATATTAAACCGATATACTAAACCATTTCTCGTGGTTTGGTATTTCCTGATTGTTGGCACTTTTATTTCGTATGAAAGTGTATGCAGAAGAGACTCGTAGGTTGAATCGCGTTGTACGGTACAACGCAAAGGTTGCAACAATAACGTTGTCTCAGGGGATTAATGGAAACCCAATTATTCTTCATTTTGACACGGCAGTTTGACCGACGAAAGCTCAGCTCGAGTCCGCCGAAGCGGCAGGACATTTTGCCAAAATCCACCACTTTCCACTCCACTTCGCGGTAATCCTCGTTCGGTTTTTTTGGCGTCCAATACACGAATTGCTTCCAGCCAAATTTTTTCTTCGAACTGGACACTCCAGTCACGATGGCATCTTTTCTCAGCCAAGCCGCCACTTTAAAACAATAAGGCTTTATAAGATTTGCTTTTCTATGGAAAAAAAGATTTAATTGTCAACACTGTATAAGCATATACTACTTATTTGGACATAGGTAGGCAGTAGTAGGGATAAAGTGAGTGAAATTCTAATTTGATTTTGGTTCACGCGTGTACACGTTTTTTGTTAGGCCAGTGCCCAAAAGCTTTGCAAACACGTTTACTCAAGTTGAAGTCTGTGAGTTTGTTGATTGTATTCTCTTTTCTTCAAGCTCTGGCAGGCGGCAGGAGAAAAACGCCTGCCTGATTCCGAGGTCCGGTAGAGCAGAATCACACAAGCCTTCTCATACACGAAGAAAAAGTGGGTTTCGATGAATCTGCCGAAACGGAATTGCTCTGCTAAACTTGCAGTCTGTATGAAAGTGCACGAAAGTCACGTTGTACCGCAGCCGTTTGGCTTGAATACGACGTTTAGGTGTGTATGTATGTGTATGTGTGTGTGTGTCTAAGACCTTTCTCGTTATGAGTATGTATAAACAGTATGAAACTTGACTTTAACGATGTCCATTATGTGGCGTTGTGTGTGTGTGTGTGTGTGTGTGTGTGTGTGGGTGGGGAAAGAGTATTTCTAGTGACGACTGCTCTTGTCTGATCTTT